AAATTAGCACAGTACAGTACGTACTATCTCTCTTTTCATCTCCATTACAATTTGAAATGTCACTTGAAGTGTGATGCCCATGAACTTCTGGAAAGAATCTACCAAATGAGTAACGGCGAATGACTGTTTCCTTCTTTGGGGTCACCCTACTTTGATGGGAAACGGATGAAGTGATAAAATACAAAAGCAAATTATACAGTATTTGTTTTAAATTTACCAAAGATTACCCCCAACAGACTGATTGTAACAATTTCTGCTCCAGCAGAAGAATATACATTATGTATAATCTGAGGATTGTTGACCTCCACTTATTTTGTGTCTTGCAGTTGGCAAGTGTCCTCTTCAGTATTTGCCTCATCTTTCTTTTTCTTGCTAAGCTTCTGAAAAAAAAAAAATGCATATAACAGCCATCTAGCATTTACTTTACCCCTTACAATAAAAGGACAACACACTGACCTGTTTAATTTTCAAGGTTTGGTTTTTCCAAAGATTCAAACCCTCCATTTGGTGAGACTAAAAGTACTTACTCACTGAACTGCACCAAACAAAAACAAATTTAGCACAAATAGGCACTCAGCCACCAGTATTTTTTTTCCAAAAATTTGCTGAAGACCAAATTCCTCCAACTGATTTTTTCAAATCAACAGTAAACACAGTATAACAAGGTCCCCACACCCTTTTTAAAATAAGGGGCTTCTAAAAGTTTAAGAAATAAGGCAGCAGATATAAATATTTTTTCTACAAATTTTCCTTAAAATGTTTAAGTATGTACTACTTTATTTAATTCTTCTAAAAAACTTGAAAAACTTGACTTAAAATATACAGTAGGCATTTCAAAAATGTGTCCAAATGACAATTTTCCTGTCTGCCTTTGTCCTATTCTCCATATTCTTACACTACCGTAACTGACATTGTAGTAAAATGAAAATATTATTGCTATCGTACAGTACTATGATATTTTTTTTATTAGCACACTGGCCAATTCCCACCAAGGCAGGGTGGTCTGAAAAAGAAAAACTTTCACCATCATTCACTCCATCACTGTCTTGCCAGAAGGGTGCTTTACACTACAGTTTTTAAGCTGCAACATTAACACCACTCCTCCAGAGTGCAGGCACTGTACTTCCCATCTCAAGGACTCAAGTCCAGCCTGCCGGTTTCCCTGAATCCCTTTATAAATGTTACTTTGCTCACACTCCAACAGCACGTCAAGTATTAAAAACCATTTGTCTCCATTCACTTCTATCAAACACGCTCACGCATGCCCGCTGGAAGTCCAAGCCCCTCGCACACAAAACCTCCTTTATCCCCACAAAACCTCCTTTATCCCCTCCCTCCAAGTTTTCCTAGGCCGACCCCTACCCCGCCTTCCTTCAACTACAGACTAAAACCCACTCTGAAGTCATTCTGTTTCACTCCATTTCTCTCTAAAAGTCTGAACCACCTCAACAACCCTTCCTCAGCCCTCTGGACAACAGTTTTGGCAATCCCGCACCTCCTAACTTCCAAACTACGAATTCTCTGCATTATATTCACACCACACATTGCCCTCAGACATGACATCTCCACTGCCTCCTGCCTTCTCCTCCTGCAACATTCATCACCCATGCTTCACAACCATATAAGAGCATTGGTAAAACTATACTCTCATACATTCCCCTCTTTGCCCCAAGGAAAAAGTTCTTTGTCTCCACAACTCCTAAGTCACCACTCACCCTTTTCCCCTCATCAATTCTATGATTCACCTCATCTTTCATAGATCCATCCGCTGACAACGTCCCCCTCCCAAATATCTGAATACATTCACCTCCCCATACTCTTCTCCCCTCCAATCTGATACCCAAATCTTTCATCACCGAATCTTTTTGTTATCCTCATAACCTTTACCTTTTCCTGTATTCACTTTTAATTTTCTTCTTTTACATACCTAACCAAATCCATCCACCAACCTCTGCAACTTCTCTTCAGAATCTCCCAAGAGCACAGTGTCTCAGCAAAGAGCAACTGTGACAACTCCCACTTTATGTGTGATTCTTTATCTTTTAACTCCACGCCTTTTGCCAAGACCCTGCATTTATTTCTCTTAAAACCCCATCTATAAATATAGTATTAAACAACCACGGTGACATCACACCATCCTTGTCAAAGGGCCCTACTTTTACTGGGAAATAATCTCCCTCTTTCCTACATACTCTAACTTGAGCCTCACTATCCTCGTAAAAACTCTTCACTGCTTTCAGTAACCTACCTCCTATACCATACACCTGCAACATCTGCCACATTGCTTCCCTTATCCACCCTGTCAATCCCTTTTTCCAAATCCATAAATGCCAAAAAAACCTCTTAAGCCTTATCTAAATACTGTTCATTATGTTTCACTGTAAACACCTGGTCCACACACCCCCTACCTTTCCTAAAGCCCCCTTTTGTTCATCTGCTATCCTATTCTCCATCTTACTCTTAATTCTTTCAATAATAACTCTACCATCCCACTTACCAGGTATACTCAACAGACTTTATTATTATTTTTATTACCACACTGGCCGATTCCCACCAAGGCAGGGTGGCCCAAAAAGAAAAACTTTCACCATCATTCACTCCATCCTGTCTTGCCAAAGAGTGCTTTACACTATTTTTAAACTGCAACATTAACACCCCTCCTTCAGAGTGCAGGCACGGTACTTCCCATCTCCAGACTCAAGCCCGGGCCTGCCAGTTTCCCTGAATCCCTTCATAAATATTACTTGCTCAAAACTCCAACAGCACGTCAAGTATTAAAAGCCATTTGTCCCCCATTCACTCCTATCAAACATGCTCACGCATGCCCGCTGGAAGTCCAAGCCCCTCGCACACAAAACCTTTACCCCCTCTCCCCAAACCTTTCCTAGCCGACCCCTACCCCGCCTTCCTTCCACTGCAGACTGATACACTCTTGAAGTCATTCTGTTTCGCTCCATTCTCTCTACATGTCCAAACCACCTCAACAACCCTTCCTCAGCCCTCTGAACAACATTTTTGGTAATCCCGCACCTAAAATTTTTTGCACTCTCTTTTGTCCCCTTTGCCTTTATACAAAGGAACTATGCATGCTCTCTGCCAATCCCTAGGTAACTTACCCTCTTCCATACATTTATTAAATAATAGCACCAACCACCCAAAACTATATCCCCACCTGTTTTTTAACATTTCTATCTTCATCCCATAAATCCCAGCTGCCTTACCCCCCTTTCATTTAACCTACTCCTCAACGAACTTCCCCCCACACTCAAAAACTGACTCTTCCTCACTCCTACAAGATGTTATTTCTCCTTGCCCTAAACACGAAATCACAGCTTCCCTATCTTCATCAACATTTAACCAAAATATATACATATTAATAGTACATTTTTTTTTTGGAGTAAGTGGATGAATTGAATGCCTCCACAAAACCACTGTGCCTCAGTGCATGGTTTATCTAACTTAATTTATCATCTCAAATGCCCAGGCAAATGACTTGAAGTTTTTGTCTGAGTGTTCACTTCTTTGTATAAACATACATAAAATGCTAACTTGACAAAATCTCTTTTCCAATCCTTGCCTCTCACACAAATCTCCCCTTTCCCATAATTTATTAAACTCAATCTATTTTTTTATCCTCACTAGGTCAGTAAAGACTGAACAAGTACACAGGGCCCTCAACTGATGGTGAGAAATACCTTGAATGTACTGTGTAAGTTTCTCCTTGCTTTATGCAAATTTGTTGCTTTACAAGGTTCCATTTCTATTATTAATTCCAAATTTCAAAATACATTTGCCCAAATTTTTGGTAGATGCATTCACAAAATATTTGTTAATTCTAATTTTTGAGGAATTAGGGGTTGATGACCTGATTAAGCTTAGTACAGCATGGTAACTGTGTAACATAAGAAATGTGTACCACTTAAAATACATATCACTTAAACAGTGAAATAAAATAGACTGTGCAGTGAAGTACTTTATTATAATTAGAGAAAGAGGGGGGTTCAAAATACATACAATAATTTTTTAAAAGATAGAAAAATAAGTTAGCATTTGAAGACATAAAGTTTTAAAACCCTCCATCATATCATAAAGTGATAAACAAGGAAGTAATCACTGTTTTAATCTAAGTTCATGAGCTATACAAAGGAAATAAGAATGTACCAATTAAAAAGTAAATATATTTATATGACATTACTTACTTTTCCAAGTTTTTTGGCAGCATGCTTATGAAGAGCTGTGGTCAAGAGGGCATCAAATCTTTCCCCCAGCATCTTTCCCTTTCTTCTGTCGGTTTCCTGCATCTTTCTCATCTGATTTATAAGAGGCTCCAGAATCTTCTACTGCCATCTGTTAATAAATTTTACAGTGAAAAGTATGAATACAGCTTATGACTATTACACAGCAGAACTCCCGGCATTAGCTTAAACCTTTCAATACATAATTAAGTGTTTGATGTTCAAACTGTTATTTTGGAGGTATTTTTTTAAAAAAAGCACATTTTGTTGGGTTAGGTGCGTTTTGTACTTATTTTTTAATTTGCACAACAAAATAATACCCCAACTGTAAAACTTAGTATTGTACAATTCAGACTATGGCTAAAGGCCAAGATTCGACAAGGAGCAGTCTTCTATTATCACCAAATATACTGTTGAAAAAATATACAATTCTTTTCAGAAATTATATATAATTGTAATAGATACAACTCAACAGATAACTCGGTACATTTGACTATCGGGTTATCTAAGATTAATATAAGAACATAAGAAAGGAGGAACACTGCAGCTGGCCTGTTGGCCCATACTAGGCAGGTCCTTTACAATCCTGGGCAGGTCCTTTATACCTAGGTTACTTGTGTACCGAACCTGAACAAAAAGCTTACTTAAATTAGTCCAATATATCTCTACAAGCCTTTAAAGAAAAAAAAAAATTGTGGTTCAAAGTTCGCCAGAACAAAGACATCACCTCAGCCACTTATTGCGAGGGTCAGATTTGCCAGTTACCTAAGTGCACCAAAAGAATGAGAGTGCCTGGTCCTTAGTTATCATGTTGTGTTGTAATTGATAATTATCAAACTAGAGAGGATAAACTGGAGCAAAAAAACCCCGAGCCAGACACAACTGTTGTGGTGGTTGTGAAGGGCTGCTAAAGCTTAGCTTTATTATGCAGCTTTCCGGGAGTCCGGGAAACCTGGAGTTCATTACTTTTGTAACTTGCTCAGCTATCAAGTAAGTAAGTTTATTCAGGTATACACAAATACAGTTGCATAGATTATTATACATAGCAGCATATGTGTAGAGAAACTTTGGGGTCCAGTCCCTGGACCCATTATTACCTGGAGTTTACCTGGAGAGAGTTCCGGGGGTCAATGCCCCCGCGGCCCGGCCTGTGACCAGGCCTCCTGGTAAGATAAGATAAGATAAGATTTCGTTCGGATTTTTAATCCCCGGAGGGTTAGCCACATAGGATAACCCAAGAAAGTCAGTGCGTCATCGAGGACTGTCTAACTTATTTCCATTGGGGTCCTTAATCTTGTCCCCTAGGATGCGACCCACACCAGTCGACTAACACCCAGGTACCTATTTGCTGCTAGGTGAACAGGACAACAGGTGTAAGGAAACGTGTCGAATATTTCCACCCGCCGGGAATCGAACCCGGGCCCTCCGTGTGTGAAGCGGGAGCTTTAGCCACCAGGCCACCGGGCCACCCGATCAGAGCCTGATCAACCAGGCTGTTACTGCTGGCTGCACGCAAACCAACGTACGAGCCACAGCCCGGCTGGTCAGGAACCGACTTTAGGTGCTTGTCCAGTGCCAGCTTGAAGACTGCCAGGGGTCTGTTGGTAATCCCCCTTATGTATGCTGGGAGGCAGTTGAACAGTCTTGGGCCCCTGACACTTATTGTATGGCCTCTTAACGTGCTAGTGACACCCCTGCTTTTCATTGGGGGGATGTTGCATCGTCTGCCAAGTCTTTTGCTTTCGTAGTGAGTGATTTTCGGGGTGTAAGTTCGGTACTATCCCTCTAGGATTTTCCAGGTGTATATAATCATGTATCTCTCCCGCCTGCGTTCCAGGGAATACAGTTTTAGGAAAACCCCAAGCGCTCCCAGTAAAATTTAGGTGTTTTATCTCCGTTATGCGCGCCGTGAAGGTTCTCTGTACATTTCTAGGTCAGCAATTTCACCTGCCTTGAAAGGTGCTGTTAGTGGGGCAGCAATATTCCAGCCTAGATAGAACAAGTGACCTGAAGAGTGTCATCATGGGCTTGGCCTCCCTAGTTTTTTAAGGTTCTCATTATCCATCCTGTCATTTTTTCTAGCAGATGCGATTTATACAATGTTATGGTCCTTGAAGGTGAATCCTCCGACATGATCACTCCCAGGGCCCTTTTACATTGGTGTTTCGCTCTATTTTGTGGCCAGAATTTTTTTTTGTATTCTGATGAAGATTTAATTTCCTCGTGTTTACCATATCTGAATAATTGAAATTTCTCATCGTTGAACTTCATATTGTTTTCTGCAGCCCACTGAAAGATTCGGTTGATGTCCACCTGGAGCCTTGCAGTGTCTGCAATGGAAGACACTGTCATGCAGATTCGGGTGTCATCTGCAAAGGAAGACACGGTGCTGTGGCTGACATCCTTGTCTATTTACCTGGAGTTTACCTGGAGAGAGTTTCGGGGGTCAACGCCCCCGCGGCCCGGTCTGTGACCAGGCCTCCTGGTGGATATGTCGGATATGAGGATGAGGAACAAGATGGGAGCGAGTACTGTGCCTTGTGGAACAGAGCTTTTCTCCGTAGCTGCCTCGGACTTCACTCTGTTGACGACTACTCTCTGTGTTCTGTTAGTGAGGAAATTATAGATCCATCGACCGACTTTTCCTGTTATTCCTTTAGCACGCATTTTGTGCGCTATTACGCCATGGTCACACTTGTCGAAGGCTTTTGCAAAGTCTGTATATATTACATCTGCATTCTTTTTATCTTCTAGTGCATTTAGGATCTTGTCGTAGTGATCCAATAGTTGAGACAGACAGGAGCGACCTGTTCTAAACCCATGTTGCCCTGGGTTGTGTAACTGATGGTTCTAGATGGGTGGTGATCTTGCTTCTTAGGACCCTTTTCAAAAATTTTTATGATATGGGATGTTAGTGCTATCTGTCTGTAGTTCTTTGCTGTTGCTTTACTGCCCCCTTTGTGGAGTGGGGCTATGTCTGTTTTTTTTTAGTAACTGTGGGACGACCCCCGTATCCATGCTCCCTCTCCATAGGATGGAAAAGGCTCGTGATAGGGGCTTCTTTGCAGTTCTTGATGAACACAGAGTTCCATGAGTCTGGCCCTGGGGCAGAGTGCATGGGGATGTCATTTTATCGCCTGTTCGAAGTCATTTGGCGTCAGGATAACATCGGATAGGCTTGTGTTAACCAAATTTTGTGGCTCTCTCATAAAAAATTCATTTTGATCTTCGACTCTCAGTCTGGTTAGCGGCTTGCTAAAAACTGAGTCATATTGGGACTTGAGTAGCTCACTCATTTCCTTGCTGTCATCTGTGTAGGACCCATCTTGTTTAAGTAGGGGCCCAATACTGGACGTTGTTCTCGACTTTGATTTGGCATAGGAGAAGAAATACTTTGGGTTTCTTTCTTTTTCATTTATGGCTTTTAGTTCTTCCCGCGATTCCTGACTCCTATAAGATTCCTTTAGCTTGAGTTCGATGCTTGCTATTTCTCTGACCAGTGTCTCCCTACGCATTTCAGATATATTGACCTCTTTTAGCCGCTCTGTTATTCTTTTCCGTCGCCTGTAAAGGGAGCGCCTGTCTCTTTCTATTTTACATCTACTCCTCCTTTTTCTTAGAGGAATAAGCCTTGTGCATACATCGAGTGCCACCAAGTTAATCTGTTCTAGGCATAAGTTGGGGTCTGTGTTGCTTAGTATATCTTCCCAGCTTATATCGGTTAGGACTCCAGGAATGACTGGATTTGGTGTACGATTTCTGCCATTTCCTGCCAGTTTTTTTTCCTTCCTGGCACTAAAAAACCTCTCCTTCTTGAGTGGCTGTGGCTACCCAGGTTTTCCCATGGCCTGGATGTTTTGTATTTTTTTGTACCCTTTAGATGGTGTGCCTGGCAATTTAAGTTATAGCACAGTCTTTCCTGTACTGAGGAGGTACACATTTCAGGGTGAAAAAGCTTACAGGAAGGGAGTTTGCATTTTCCTGTTGTCATATGGGCATGGCATTTTCTAGGGTGGTCATAGTTACACGTCCCGTCTGTTTTTCCAGATTTCCCATGTCTGCAGATACCAAGTGCATAGTATGTGCACAGGCTTGGTTTCCGTTTGCCTTGGGTTTCTGTGACTGTATTCCCTGTTGGTGCATGTTTCCCTGTCTTATTCCTATCCTCCCTAGCACCAACAATGGAGCTCCCACCAGTTGTTTTTGGTAATATATCCTCACTATTGCTAGTGGAGTCCTCTTGTTTGCTATTTCCTGTGGTATTTCTAGTTTGCAATATTGGTTTTATCTTATCTTTGACTACACTTGTTTCCCCACTACGGCTCCTGTCCCCTATGAGGTCATTTATATGTATTCCTTCCTGCGTATAATTCCCGACTACCTGGATAAAATCTCCAGCTTCACCATTACTGTCTCCCAGGACAGCACCTCCAGCTTCACCATTACTGTCTCCCAGGACAGCACCTCCAGCTTCACCATTACTGTCTCCCAGGACAGCACCTCCAGCTTCACCATTACTGTCTCCCAGGACAGCACCTCCAGCTTCACCATTACTGTCTCCCAGGACAGCACCCCCAGTTTCACCATTACTGTCTCCCAGGAAAGCACCTCCAGCTTCACCATTTACTGTCCCCCCCAGGACAGCACCTCCAGCTTCACCTTTATACCCTTCCCGGGAAACCGCACTACCCCCCCCCAAAATTTACTGACAAACCGGGGCCCTCACCTCCAGCCAAAATTTTTGGGACTACAGGGCCAGTATCAAGGGCTTTACCTTTTAAACCCCAATTTTTTATTTTTCCCACCCCTGTTTAGAAAGCTTCCAGGTTGTCTATGAAAGAAAGCTTTGATGTTAACCTTTTTAATCCCCTTTGTGATTTTAGTCCACAGATTTTCCTTTTTTGGGCATCCCAAAAAACCCCTTCCCTTTTTTAAAATATGCTTTTTAAGCTAGTTTTTTGGATATCTGCAAAAGGGGCGGGGACACCTTTTTTCCACAAAAAGACAATTTTACCCATGGGGAACCCGTTTTTTTAAACTGATGCGCTATCCCGAGTTTCATAATGATTTTTTTGACTACCCCCCCAAAAGGAGGGGTATTGGGTGCATAATGAAAAATTTTAAACTTAACAACTGGAAAGTTTTTTTCCCCCCAAAACAAGAAAGATTTTGTCCTGATTAAAAACCCCCGGGGGGGTTTTAGCCCCCCAGGAGTTAGTTAGTTTAATATGTTTATTATGCACCCCAAAACCCATCCTGTGGGGGGTATTCAAAAATTAAAAGGTACAAAATTTGGGTTCCGGGGACGGACCCCCAAAAGGGTTTTTTGATAGTGACCAAGTTAAAAAGGGAAATGAATAGATCTGGTCAAACAGGGCCCAATTAAAAAGGGGAAATTTGACCCCAGGTTGGGGTTTTGGGTCAAAACTCATGAATAATTGAAAAGGAAAAATGAATCAAAAAACTTTTTAAACCCTGAAAATTTTACAAAGGTAATGAGCTCCCAGGGAGCGGGTCAAAATTCATGAAATTTTTTAAGGGGGTAAGAATGAAAAACACGTTTTTTGGGACATGATTAAATCATAGCCCAAATTACAGATTAATGAGTATTTAAACAAACATAGTGGGGAAATTCACCCATTCCCAAAAACAACAGATTTTGCGGTGCCTGTTTTCTCCTCGGTAGACAGCCATTGCAAACAGCAGAAAAGTTCCCCAAAGGGAAATCTGCTGCTTGCGCGAGCAAAAATGGGGACCCCCCCCAAAGGGGTCAGAAAACCCAAAAAGGCAATGGGGCATCAAGGGACTGTCTGTTCTTATTTGTATTGGGGTCCTCAGCCCTTGCCCCAAATTATAAAATTTAAGGGGGGGCAAAACCCGTAGGTTATGCAACCCTTG